GAAGAGAGACAAACATGTTAGAAGCAAACAAGAGTGTATATGAACTGTTCATAGATGAAACTGACTTTGAGTTTTAGATGAAAGGTCATTGTACGATTCGTATAAACAATATTGTCAAGAATATGGTTATATGACAGCGTCTAAACGAACATTCTTGCAATGTCAAAAGTCTTTTAGACGTACAGAATGGTGTGTGTATACAAAGAAAAATTTTCTGAGTAAATTTAAAAAAAATATTTTTTTATCCGATAGAAAAGATGACAAAATTCATCTCAGTAAACAAGTACATGTCAGGACTTAAAGAAGAACTAGACCATTTCACATATTTGAATGTTTACTTCTACCATTTTGAAAAGTTTCATTCAGCAAAGTTTGGAACATCGAACCAGTTAAGTTTGCTATTGTGACTAAAAATGTGCGAAATTTGAAGACTTAGACATAGAAGGTTTGTTAACAGTCAAAGAAAGTTTTGACAGAAGGTTTTCAAACCTTAAAGAAGGCAAGCATACAAACTTGTTATACCTTATGAACCAAAGAAAGCAGACGACTATGAATATTATGAGTCTAAAGTTGTAGAAGTTCAAGGTAAATTGGGTAAAAAGATTTTAGAGTCTAAGCCAGTGTTTACTCCTAAAGAGGAAAGAGAACATTGACATTGACCAGAAATGTTCTAAAATAAAATTTTATTTTTACATGTCAAATTCTTTTTTTCTGGCGTCTGGTTTTTCTTCTCTTCTTCTACTTTTCTTTTCTTTCTTTTCTCTCTTCTTCTTTCTGGTGGAGTTATGTCAAACTTCTCAGAACCATATTTTTGTAAAAGTTCTTTGTCCTTTAATAGTCTTCTATTCTGTTTTCTATTTCATCTTCAAGAACAGCGCATGTGTCTTCTTTGCATTCTAAGAAGTTTTGTTGGACTTCATCTCTCCAAGAGGCGTCATCTCTGTCAACAAGTCTGTCATTGACAAATTTTAAGACTTCTCTGCTTAATGTTTTATGGTTTCTTGTCATATTCCCAGAAACAGAACTTTAGAACAAATATCACCTTTCTTGTTTACACTATGTAAGATTTTATGGTCGACAGATGTTTTGCTGTCGAAAAGCTTGTCTCGAATATAGATATGAGCAAATCGCAAGACATTTTCTAAAGATAAAATTTTTAATTTTTTCTAAAAATATGTTAGAAAAAAGTTTGCTGACATTGACAAGAATTTGAGAATGTTTTAACCAAGAACAAGGTGAAATTAGAAAATGCTCAGATAAAGCCTTATACATGACAAGTTCTTATTTGCTCAGAATGGTATAACAGGTCTAATTGCACCACCTGGGTCGGGTAAGACTTTCACTTATCTTAAAATGGCTGCGACAACAACAAGAATAGATGAGAAGAACCCATTTTATGAGTTAGTTGTTAATTTGTAGTACTTCGGGTCAGATTTGACCAAACCGTCAAATTCGTTCAAAAGTATTATAAAGAAGTCTAGTTAGTATGTATATAAGATACTGAGTTGTTAGATTGGATAAGAAGTACAAAGAAGAGTTTTGAAGTACAATGCTATAAATGAGTATATAAATTCGAAGTTTAAAGACCAAATGAGGAAATGCAGAGAATATTAGAGAAGAAACACTTCAAAACAACAGAAAGAGATAGAATACATTTCGAAGAAATTGCAATCTTAACGATTGGAAGACTTACCCTCATAGATTTTCTTAATCTTAGATGATTTCGCCTCTCATCCTTTGTTTAAAGAATAGAGACAAGATATGTGTCGAATTCTTAAGAAGCTCAGACACTTAAACATCTCAGTTGTCAATTTGTGTACAGACAGCAAAGAGTTTAAGTAAGGATATAAAGAGAATACTTACTGACATTGTACTTTTTCCCCGATCTGTCCGAAGAGACCGATTCAATGGAACTTTATAAAGGTCCATGGCAGGTATAGTTTCTGGCAGACATGAACTATGGAGAGCTACAAAGTCATACAAGACCTCATACTTCTTCAGAATTCATATCTACGCAAACAAAGTTCAAATTGGTACAAGTAAGCGTAAAAAATGTAGTCGTTTATTTCTTTAGTAAGTCTGTTGTGTTCTGCAGCTTTCGGTTTCTCCTGCTTTCGGAAGGCATTCAGGAGAGAAGCGTCAGTCATCCGTTTGTGTCTGTCGGAAGGAGATTTTCCTGTTGGAAGGACAGAGTCTTCCTGTTGGAAGGAAATTTTTTCCTGCTGTGGAAGGAAATTTTTTTCCTGTTGGAAGGAAAATTTTTCCGAAGTTCGAATCCAAAAAGTTCTCATTTTCGAAAATTTGAATGGTTTACGACGAATCAAAGCCAGAAATTTTTTTTCCAGTTGTCGGGGAATTTTTCCAGTTGTCGTGGAATTTTTTTCCAGTTGTCGGGAATTTTTTTCTTGGTCGATGGGAAGGACTCGGAATGTCGGAAGGAAGGATCGGATGCCAGAAGGATTGACAAGACAATTTACCATCTAGAGCTACCTGAGCCATCTGAAGTCAAGCGGTAAAAATAAAGTGGTTATTTACCTGCTTGTTTGAAGTTTGTCAAAAATACTCTGTTATGTTTTTTCTTTCGTAGCGCAAATCTTCTTTAAGGTAGTATTGTACAACTTTCCATATCAAAAGTGTGTTTGAGTAACGTATCTTGAACTATTTGTTTCACATCTTCATTTGGTGTCAATTGGAAATCGGTCAGTTTCGCGACTAGAACGCCAATTTCTGTTAGATTGTAAAATCCTAGCAAGGTCGTAAAAGCTTTTGTTGTTTTTCTGACCTAAAATGCAACATCAACATATCGTTTATCTTCTTCTGTCTCCATCTCTTCAGTATAAATCAATATATTATAGTCTTTTCCTTTCCTTTTTGGTACCGAACGTGGTATCTTTCTGATGTTTTTGTCTTTTGCTTCAATGACTTCATCTTTTGCTTCCCTGCTTGTTTCTCCTAGCTCTTCACGTTCTTGTCTTGAATTCATCTAACATCAAATGAAAATATACAGCGTAACGAGGTGAAGCGCCACATTGCAACAGCAGTTACAGAAGTACTATGTACATACAGCCCCAAACCAGTGAGCCAAATTCTTGCGATTTTCGTTACGGAATCTCACCCGCGGTTTTCCGCGGGTAGCAACATATGAAGGGAATCTTCTAAAAGTTCTTTTGTCTGTGGTTTTCAACAATGATGTGCTGCCCTTTGTAGAACTGAAGAGCATTGAAATACTTTGGCAATTTGTACATGCATCTTTGACCGAACGAATGAGAACGTAAACTGTTTGTTATCTGAACCACTCGATATTCCATCAATTTTGTCTTCATGAACGATAGCAAGTTTGTTGTGTTTCTGATGTTTGTGTTCTCGTTGTTGACATTCTGTCCTTTATATCGGATAAAAAAAATATTTTATAAAAAATTAGCGTTATTTCCTGACTTTTCACAAAGACCAAAAATAAACGCTTTACATTATTTTTCAGCCAACTTGTCAAATAATTTTAAATGCTTTATCTATCTCATCCTACTTCACGTTCTTTTACTTTTATGGGAGCACCCATACATTTCTCAAACTTTTTCAAGTAGTTCTGATTTTCTGGCAGCTCCATATCTTAACAACACAAACTTACTCTATTGACTGTACTGTACATATTTTTGGAGTTATATTCATATGTTCTTCTTCTTATATCTCTGTATTGAAGTCCTTCGGTTTCGTTGCGATGTAAAGTACCTTCACTGCAAGTTCCGTATCGAATGAACCATATGTTATGGAAGTTATATCACAACTGAGGTATAACCATAACAAAACACTGTATAAGACTTTTGTCGTGAGATAGTGCTGCAGCCATAGAATCCTACCGATATCACATAAGCTCAGGAATTTCTTGTCAAAATTTCTGAGTAGAACCAGTTCTAACCCATCGTGGGATGTTTTCTTCCAGATAGTGTTAGAATGTCTGACAAAGAATATTTTGTTGTATTTCTTTGAGTATTCTTAGTTAAATCACAATTATTGAACACTTTGGTGCAATTGTCTATCTTTCTAATTGTTCAAAACTCAATGTTGTGTCCATATATGTATTGTACATACAATAAAAAAAAATATTTTATAAAAACTAACTTATTTTTTCTATCTGTATAAAGATATTGATTTCAGGGATTTTTTTTGACGAATGTCAAAGTCTTTTCGAAAAAAATAAAGTTACTATAATGAAGATTTGGTCATTTTTAAGATTTTCATGAAGTTTTAAGGTGACCCCGAATAAAATCGGGGTTCGCAAATTTTTACGATTTTCGTACGGATCTGACGCCTCAGAAAAGTCTGGGTCGCAATTTCAAAAACGTAAGAATAAAAAACCGTAAGAATCATACATTTTTTACTTCATATGTTAAAAAATGATACAAAATCGTTCTATATTGTATGAATTCTTACGTTTACAAAAAAAGTCACACAACCCGTCATATATACTACTATCCTTCGCTTTTAAGATCATTGAATTTGATTTTTATATAAAATAGTTATATATTAGAAAATAATATGAGTTTATGTGATATTATTTTTCAGAAGATTTTGTGTTCTTCTTCAAAATTTTATTTTTTTATTAAAAAGAATCTTTACAAAATATACATTTACTTTAATTAATATTTAAAAACGTGCTCTATCAAAAGTTCCAAAAATTCAATATTTTAGCTTTTCTGAGGTGTCACTTTTGATGAATTTCTGTTTACAACAAGAATAGCTATTCTGATGAGTTTATATTTCAGATCATTTATGGATAAATTGTCTCAATATCTGCACGTTTCCAAAATTGAAAATTGAAAATTATCTCACAATTTTTTTTAAACCAGATATGTCAAACAAAACGTGCTTCGTAGAATTCTCATCCACTCGGAAAAAGTATTCGTAATCAAAGAATGAATATGTATAAGTTCGTTGAAATATAAAATCTCTTTATTCAAACAAGAATTTTTACAAAAAAAAACACAATTTAAAAAAAAGTTAAATTAGTTAGTAAACATCCATCTTGGAATTGTTTGATCAACCTTAGGCATCTTAAATGGTTGTCTTCTTGGTGTATATTTCGGTTCTTTCTTCCATTCATCAGTAGATCCTGAGAAATTAGCCGGAATAACTTTAACAATGTTATCGGATGATGTTTCACTGTCACTTGATCCATCAAATGTCTTGTTCTTTGAATCTGATACGACTGCTTCATATGTTTCTGGCGCATCTGAGTCACTGGACATTAAAGTTGGTGTTTCGCTTCCCTTCTCTTCATCCTCAGATACATATGTTGGTATCTCTTCATATCTCTTTGCTTCTTCCGAAATCTTTTTGTACATTTGGAGTTTTGTGGGAACAGGGCCATGATTTTCTGATTTCTTTGGTGAGGGTGGGTCACGAACAAATATTGGGAACTTTCTTGGTGTTTTCTGCATGATAAGACGGCCACGAGAATCAAGCCAATCATAATTGTAATCAAACTTGTATCCGTAACGAATAAATGCATCTCTGAATAGTTGTCTGTATTTTGCATAATGTGGTTCTTCGTCGTATTTAAGATTTCTTACATCTTTGAAGTATTCAACGAATTCTTTAGGATATCCTGCGCAAAGGTCTTCTGGAGATATACCTGCTTTAGCTTCCATGATCATGGAGTACTTTTGATCTGTATTTCTTGCATTAATTCCCATCCATGGTAAAGATCCACGTAATAAGTAAAGCCAAACGTATCCTAATGATTCCATATCATCGCGACGTGATTGCCGTATTCCGTTTAATGCATTTATTGAGGCATATCGAGGAGTACCTGTTAAGGAACGTCCTTCTTCGTAAGGTAAATGTTTATGTGAAGTTGGATCACGATATTTCTTCGATAGACCGAAATCAATTATGTAAACTTGATTTTTGTTGGATCCAAGTCCCATAAGGAAATTATCAGGTTTAATATCGTTATGAATAAAACTTTTTTCATGAATGAATTGAACAGCATTAATCATTTGATCTGTAAGCATTAATACTGTCTTAATAGTAAGTTGTTGGCCGCATAAATTGAATAAATCTTCAAGACTTGGACCTAATAAATCAATTACCATTGCATTTTCACGACTTTCTTTAGTAAAAAGATGCATTCTTGGAACTTGGAAGGAGCCCGAAAATAATGTATATAATTTAGACTCAAAATTTAATTGGGGATAACTTGAATTTAATGGCTCTAATTTTATAGCTATTTTTGTACCATCTCTTATATCTTCTCCTTCATACAATGTCGCAAAGCTACCTGAACCAATTTGTTTTTGTAAGTGATAGTAATTGCCGACAATTCTATTCGACATTTTTTTGAATAGTAAAAAAAAAATAACGGCAAGGTTAAGTTGTTTTAAGTGATATCTACTGATGTTAAAATCATTAAAAAATTGCAAAAAGGAAGAGTTATGTAATAGAAATTATCAAATTGAAATTACAAACAGTTGTAAATATAATAGAAAATAACAAACAGTTTAGTCGTATGATTTGGCTAATTCTCATCAAGGAGAGGATAATTGGAAATTTGGATTTCCTTGATAACTTCAGTTTCGCTACATAAATCATGCAAAAATAGGGATAAGTCTCTAACACTGTTGAAAAGTCTAAGAGCTGGGAACTCTTTCACCTTTTCATTAAATAATTGAACAGCTTGTTTAATATTTCCGGAATAAATGTATGCAACAACTTGATTCATCTTATTCATTGGATTTTTTGATTGTTCAAATCCATTTGCTGCTGACTGGAAATTCATTCTAAAGAAATCTATATAAGGTTGATTAGATGAAAGAATTTTGATGTCACTTATGTAGCTAAATATCTCATGAGCTTGATGGTATTTGTTCAAACTGAGTAACATCCTTCCAATTATGCATGAAAAATTAGAATCATGGAAAAGGTAGGATTTGGTAGTAAGCAAGTTATCGACAAACTTTGAGAATAGCATTTTATCTGTTTTTCCGAGGTAGATTGCTGAAATAGAGCTTGCAATTATGGAAAGTTTTGATAAAATTGTTGAACATGCACTATCAAACGTTTTCTTCCTTGATTCGATGTTAAACTCGTCGTTGAGTATGATATCTTGTGAGTTTACGCATTTTAATAATGATTCATAGAAAGTTAAGTAGAAATTAAAGAGAGTGTATAAGTATGTTGATGGTTGAACATTCTGGCTTTGCTGGAAAATGATAGAAACTATGTAAAGGAGATCATATGGTGGAAAATCGAAAAATTCTGAATAAAATTGAGGAAATTTAACTGAATCTAAATAGCTAAATATTTTATCTGTTGTGGTAATCTCGTTTAAAACAGCGAAGCATTCGGTATTGAATGATTTCTGTAAAAGATAATAAATAAGTTCAAATAATTTGCGAAATCCGAGTGATTTCCCATCAGAACTTTCTAGTGATTTCTTAATGTATTGTTTTGCTTCATTCTGATTGCTTGTGTACATTTGAACTATAGAGATTTGACTCATTTTAGTTCCAAAATTAATGTCACATTTCAGACTCTATAGATAGACTTCATTTCATGAGTTTAGTCATAATATCTAGTGTTAATATGTTGGTCCATAAGGGTTCATTGAAATATATTCATCTGATAAAGATTTTCTAAGAATGTTCGATTGTTTAACGGTAATTGAGACTTCTGTAGTTAAAATTTCAAACTTTTTAAGCTTTTGGCTGAATTGGTTAATTGATCACCAGGTATTTAAGTCCAGAAAAAATATTTAGGAGTGATCAAAAAAACAAAGCTTGTTGAGGAGCGGTATTAACAATATGAATATAATTAAGTTTACTGATAAACAAAAACAATATAACAAACTATAAAATACTAACGTAAATTGGAAATCAATTTATACAATATCAACTGCATCAAATGATGATGAATTACTTGTGCTTGAAAAGGCATCCGATTTTTCTTTAGCTTTTTCCTTCTTACTATCTGATTTCTTTTCTTTCATTTCATGATCTGAACTATCAATTGAATCAATTGGAGAATCAAAATCGCTATGAGGAGGACTTGCTACTTTCTTCTTTGATGATGAGATCTTTTCATCACTTGGTGAATCAAATGAATCTGATTCAATATCAATATCTGAATTTTGTGATTTCTTGGAAGCTTTTGATGACTTAGATGCCTTTGACTTCTTGGTCTTCTTATTATCTGAATCAGATGAAATACTATCAATATTATCAATATCTAGGTCTGAAATTAAAGATTTATCTTCTTTCTTCTTCTTTTTAGGTTTTGTATCAGAACCAATACTTGAACTTGAAGCACCAATTGAATCTTCACTTATTTCGTCGTCGCTTCCAATAATTGGAGATTCATCAGATTCCAACATTGCATCGGAATCACCGCTTCCTATAACATCATCAGTATCTGGTTCACTATCTCCACCTCTGATAGCTGAGATAGCTGAATCATCATGCATTTCACTTGATACGGTGGAGAATAATCTTGGTCTTTTGTTGGATCTTGGCTGTTCATTAAATTCCATATCAACGGGTGGTCTAGTCCTTCTAAATGATCTAATTTCAGGTGTCTGTGAATTTTGTGATGATGTTGTTGCATTGAAATTCTGATTATTTTGTTGTGATTGTGGTCTTTCAGCCTCTGGAGGTGCTTGATATTGATGATTCGATAGTTTATTAACTTTCGCTTGTAAGTATTGAACTTGTGCTTGTAAATCGGCAGCCATTTTTCGATATTGTTGATTTGTCCTGAAAAAGTCAGTAGCACGCATTGGAACAGCTCTGTCAGTCTGATCTTTCTTTGCATGTACTGGGGGTATATTCTTTACTTCAACTCTTACTTTAAAAACGACTAATGCTCCATCTTTTTCAATCTCATTTTTCAATTTTAGAGATTCCTTAGCAATAGCTGATGTACCACGTCTTGAAATTGAATCTTGAACTAAAGGAGCGATATTTACTCCTCCAACAAAAACAGTATCTTCGGATTTTATATATATGTAAAGTAAAATTTTGTTAGGAACGGTTTTTCTGTATGTATTGATGTTAACATGGTATCCTTGAGAAAAATCTATTGTAGCTCTTCCTTGAACTTTGGAATTGATTACTCCAAAAACAATTGGCTGTGTATCACCGATTTTAATCAAAACATCCTGACCTATAATTCCTTTGTTTAATATTTTAATTGAATTTATAAAGACATCTGTTGAATATTCGAAGTAATCATCCATTTTGAGATAATAAACGTCTAATCATTGAAAAAATAATAACATAAAAGGAAGTAGTAAATAGCATTAATCTTATTAGGATAACATTTTTGATAGGAAACAAATGTCTCAAATAGATTATTTGAAAACTTTGATCAAAATTTTATCACATCTGATTAAAATTAATAAATGATCATGAAACCTTGTTATTGGACATCTAAAATCAACCACAAAATCAATAAATTTTATCATTTTTTAGGTTGAATCTGATCGAATTTGTATCACCTTTTTAGATTAAGCAGAAAGAATATCAAAAAATGTGCAGTACATCTTATAGTTATACTCATTTCTTTCTACTTCTATATCAATTTCTTCCTATTTTTAAAACAACCCTTTCCATATTATAATTTTTATCAGAACTCACTACCATTTTCCCATGACTTAAATTCCGTTCGATCAAAGCTACTGATTTATCCATTATTTACAACAATTAACAATACGATTTTAATAAAGATTTACAGATTTTCAACAAATGCTCAATAAGAATGCTATTATCGAAGAAATGCCAAAATTTATTGAATCATTACCTTTGATTATTCTACTAAATACAACATCAACAGAAAAAATTCAATTATTTTTGAAATCATTCTATAATTCGCAGGAGTTATCGTGGATGAAAACAAGAACGTTAATAGAAAGATATCTTGCTCCTTTTCTTTCTTCTTATTTATTAACAGGTAAGAGATATTTTTATAATTTGGCAATAGATATTGCACAGCAGATATTATACATATCAAAAGGAAATATATATAAATGTCAACTGATAAATCTCAAAAACAAAAAATGCAAAACAAATATCTTTGAAACTCAGTCTTCTTACTCGGACACTGCAGCAGGATACTTAGAAATGTATTCTTTATACTTTCTTACTCATAATGAACTTTATAAGAAAGTAGCAGAATCAATAATTTCAAATTCTTTGAAAATACATGGATTTCATGATATCTCATTAGCAAGGAATATATATGTTGCTCACAAATATTTTAACGTCCCAATACCTCCTGAATTTAACATAAGTCAAATTGATATCAAAATAAGCCCAAAATATATCCCACTCCTTGAGACTGACTTTCATTTCAAACATAAACGAAAGTTAGAGAAGATCTTCAAAGATTTAATAGAGAATAATTCCATTTTGAGCCAATTTAATTTTGATCCTCTAATTCTAAGAATACTTAGATATAAAGGGTACTTCGATGTAGTAGATCATATTGATGGGATTTTTATGAAAACTACTGATGATTTTTCAGTCAAAGCATTCAATATTTTATTATTTCAAAAAGAGTTTGATGAAATATATGAAAATATTGTTTTTAACTCAAGAGGTCATATGATATATGTCTCGTCATAAGCACATTTTGTTTCAATTATAAAGATTTCACAGTATCTTATTTTATTTGATAAAATTATTTGTTTTTGAAGCGATAAAGTCCTTTCTGGAGCCTTGTTTGGTGAAACTAACCCTTATAGATATGATATTTAGTAAGATAATCACCCCTAAAAAGTGTCAGAAAGGTGAATATTCTTTGGAAAATTTATAAATTTTTATCTCACCAAAATTTTAATTAGCAGGTTTTAAATGTTGCTCTTAACTGATTATTATTTTTGATTTTTAACAATTTTATCAATTTTGAAAAGAATAATATTTCCAACAATTTCGCATTTTTCCCGTCAATGACAGAGTTAATAAAACCAATAGATCGCGTAATTCAAGGCTTTCATTTTACAGTGTCGAACATTGTTGTTAAACAAGCAATTAATGGATTTTTCCTTTCTTATTACAGGAATTGTACTAAATTAGGTCTCAAATCCTCAAAATGCAATTTTAGTATTCAAGGTCAATTTCTTAATACAGGCTTAATCGATCTTGAAAAGCTCAAAGAGCATTTCGTTGAAATTTTTCAGATACAGGCGATGAATTAAAGAGAAAGTCATTTATTTGGTCGACATTCCCAGCATTATGCCAATACAATATTTGCAACGAACCATCTGCGAAATCTTTGAAATTTTTGGAGATGAATTTAAATCATCCAAACTTACCTGATCTTATTGCATCAATGTGGATGAACAATTCATCTTTTATCTACAGTGTATTCCAAAGCATCTGTTCTTTTACTAGTGTTGCAGACGAAAATTTCAAACAAGTCAAAATTTCGAAAAGCCTTATAGAATCATTCTCCTACCTTACGGACTATAACATCAAGGCTTACAAACTCCTCGAAACTGATGAGAATAAGAAAAAATTCTTTGTAAATAATTTTTTGCCAAATCTTATAGAAGAATTCGCCCATTCGCAGTACAATGATGTTGACAACTTTGCTGATGTTAATTTTGGAGAAATTTTTGATGCAGTAAAAGATGAAATCGGAAAAGCTTACACAGAGCTTCCCAGCTTCAGAAATATATTCCCAGCTGAATATTGCATCAACCTAATATCACAGACAGACTATTCGATCCTCTTTGACCAACAAATTAAGAAACCAGATCATAAAAACCTCTACATCGTTAAGTATCCGGTAGAAGTGATCGGAACAAACTTTGAAGAGATCAAAAAGTCATCAAAAGAAGATAAAAGGATCTTAGATCAACTTGAAGAATCGATTTACAACTTACAGATGGATATGGACCAATACCAAGCTTCCCTTTTAAGAAACTTCATTCACAAAGTTATTCCTTCAGAGAAAAATAAACTCAAAACTGATTATAACTTAATCAGGAAAAATATTCTGGATTTATTCAAAACAGGTATCAATGCATCGATCGGAAAAATCATGAATACCCTCAGAAGCAAACTAATTACAAAGGATGATCTTAATTCCGATTCTTGGATCGCAGATTTCTTGGAATTCCACAATGACGTTGTTGCAAGCGAAATTCCAGTCTACTATCCACTTTTAGTAGCAATAATTGAGCTGAAGTTCATGAAATCTCGTGAAAATGTTCTTAATAACTTCAAATTCAATGCAGAAAATGATCCTCCTACCACATTCCAACCAGATTGTCCTTTTAAGAATGGAGAAACTAAGGAATGCCTTGAAAATGCATTTACAGTGTTGAGTACCTGTTTAATTAATTTGAATACGAACGCAGATCCGAATAAAGGTATTAAATACAATGATGCTGTTTTCTATTTCGATACAATGTATGACTTCATTATATATAAACCAAATCCTGTTTCTCATGAGAATTTGAAAGAAAAGAAATACATTTCCACAGTTTTCCAGCGTTTATTCAACTGTCGTCTATCTTTTGCAAATTACTTGAAGAGCTTCAGTAACCTCGCAAAGGATCCTGTCGAATTCCTCAGAATACCAAAAGAAATCGAAGAAAATAATAGAAAATTAGCTGATAGTTTATCAAATGAATTCTAATTATTCTTTATTACATTAAAATACCTTTTTATTTTCCTATAAAAATCTTTTTATCATTTTATATAAAATGAAAATATGAAAGTTATGCCTTATATATGAGATTATTTGAAGTTATATAGAAATGGTCTATTATTCAATCCTATTTGGCCATTCAATTTAAACCTAATATGAAATAAGTTAAAGGTACTGACACTTCAAATCTGTTATTAATTTTTCGATGTGGTTAAAATGGCAGATAGTATGGACAAATATAAAGCATACTATGCAGAGAAAATAAAAATTCGTCTGTACGTTTTAGAGTTTGAATCAAATGAAATATCTTATAATTTTCTTATATTTTATCTAAAAATTTAAATTTTGACACGAGACTGCCTCATTTTGCGAAATTATAACGACAAAAATGTATATTAATTAGCATAAAAATTAATTTTACTAACAATTTGTCAATATGGGGGTGATCTAATTTCTCAATAATTTCTTCAAACATGTGTCTTGTACATCATATTCCATTCCGAATGCTTTTTATTGCATAACACTAGCAGGAATGACATTCAAAATAAAAAAAAATTGCAGTAAGAATTAAGCTCAATTGGAGAAATTCTGTTACAATGCAATATATACTGATATAATACTCAAACAAAAGTTTTTTTCATATTAAATATCTCAAATAAGTTTGATCTTATAATTAAACAAAGATCGAGAAAAGTGCTGGGAAATATATCTTAAGGTAAAAAATCTAGCGTTTATGGGAAACGAGATTTGGATTATATATATATAATTCCTGAAAGGCCAACAAGGTGGAGATATATTCATACAGACAGTTTGCATAAGGACTTCTACAAGAGAATATGTTGCATATACTGTGGAGAATAAGTTGATTTGATGTTCTGAGATATTATCCAAATTTAGAAGATTTAAATGCAATATTATTGATATTTTACTCTCTGATTTCCCTTCCTCATATTTTAGTCTTTTCAACCAGAATAAGCCATCATATTATAATGGATCATGCTTGAATACTTGTAATATGATGAGTTAACAATCAATTTCACTTTGTGGGGAAAAAAGTGTCAAGTTTTGATGAGTTCTTGGCAGAGGGTTGGATTTATGAATGGAAATGCCAGCCATAAAACTAACGAATCTAAAGCTGAGCAGATGATGTCTACTGACATTTACGAAAAAGTTTTTAAATCATCATTCGAAATTGTTAGACAAAATCTAGACAACGGAAGCTATAAAAATCTAGATGTTCAGCCATATATTGACAGATTAACATTTTTCTTGGAGTCATTGCCAGACAACGATTTTAAATCCTTCAATATTCTCACACCAAACTTCGATACATATCAAGAAAGAGCATCAATTATAATTAAATTTTGGCCGGAATACTTTTCTATTGAAGATAAAACAGATAAACGCATAGAATTCGAATATAAACACACATTTGTCCAATTTTACAAGATTTGGAGAAGTGTAAAATAGGTAAGATGTTTTATACTTTACTTTCGAATTTCAAATTAGAATTTATTAACGGAAAAATCATTACTTCTATTATTGACTTCAGAAATACACCAGAGCAGTATTTTTTTGCAGAACTAAGCATATCTTCAGACTTTATTAGATCTGATTTCAAAAATACCGATTATCTCACAAGTGAAAAAATTTTTATCGATTTAACTAATAAAAATATATGTACTGATCCATCTCCTGATGTTTCTAGATATAATAGTATTCTAGACTGGAGAGAAAAGATGTGGATTCCTCTTAGATTTGAAGATTACAGATTTCATCCTCCTGAAAAACCTTTCAAACTTGCTGGAACTAATGTTCGCATTTTGAATATTAAATCCGAAGCGTTTCCGCTTAAAAATGATAATATTACTATTAATATTAACACGAATATTTCTTTTTTGTAAATGAAATATGATTTTGTTGTTCTCTATACTAAATACTATCATGAAATTATTCTTAATAATCTTTTTTGAATATCAAAATGAAAACAGATCTTATTGATTTCATTTTTTTAAGACATTAAGTATAGAATAGAAATTTCTATTAACACTTGGTCATGCGTACAAAATATGTCAAGGATGAAATGCTTTTGAAGAGGTAGAATGTAATTCCAGTTATTATAAAGGTGACCAAACTATTTTTTGAAAGTCCGCCATAACTTTAATGGTACTATTTCAGCGTGTACAATGAATACAAAAATTCTAAGAGTGCCACATAAAATAGTACTTTAGACTTGAGTTAATGCTACCAAGCAAATGTTAAAAAGATGACTTTAGTGTTTTGATAATCAAAGATTAAAATCATTATTGTCTAAATCAATAATCATAACGACAGAAGTTAATGTTTTTTCATAAGTGCTTTAAATCCACTTTTAAAAGTATACCTCAAAAATCAAAATATCAAAAAAAAATTGGCCGATAGGTTTGGCTTTAATTTTTGTCTGCTTTTATGATTTGATATGGATGTTATAATTTTAAAAGTTGAGCCAAATTCACCAATAGATTTTTGAGATTTGCAAATACTCAATAATTTTCAGCGTGTTATCTTTTATTAAAAGAACTATTTGGTTTCAGTATCATATAAATTGATATTTACTTTCTATTTGAACCTTCATTTAGCTAATGATTTAATAATACAGATTTCATCTAGTCCTTATAAGAGAATTTTGAATTTGTTATAATAAAAAAACAAACAGATATAGCTTACACTTCTATAATAAAGATACCTTTTATAGAAATCAGTATGAAATGTGTTTTGGCTTATTGGAAGCATATCAGACATAATCGCCATAATCAAAAAATCTATATACCCAATAAGTAATAAATTTGTCGATATAGATTTTCCATAAAATTAGTTTTTAGTCTGATCTTAAAATAAATTTAATTTTTTATAAAAAAAAATCACATTTAAAAGTACCTTTTTAGTAGCTCGAAATCCTGTTGGTGGATTTCGGGCGTACTTCAAAATTAGCTTTTCTTCTACATATGCAAGCTATATTTTAAATATGGAGCAAATCGGATCGGCGAAAGGAGTTTAGTCACCTTTGTTATTATTGTAAAAAATTGTTTTGCAAACTTGAATTTTGAAATGGTGCTTTAGATTACTATATTATGCTGATTTTGGTGATAGATTCATTACATCCACAAGCAAATTTAAAAATTGTTTTTAAATTTTCTTAATCCAAATTCTCTCAATTTTCTGAGGCTTTCAAATTTTACCCTTAAAATTATACAGTTGATATTTTACCATTTAGTACTTAGCTCTCCAAATGATATTTGGGAATCATACTTCAGCGGACAGTCTCCATACGAACATACATCGAATCAAGTTCTTCGCAAATGCAAAATAATTCACGTTCATGATGTATTTTTTACAGGCCATACTAGTCAAATTATCAATATCTACGACGAACAAAATAATGATTATGTAACTTTAATCTCTAATTGCGTTTTTGATTCAAATTCCATTTCTGATGGTAATGTCTGGGGCGGAAATATTCGCCAACAAACCGGTCAGTGCGTTCAGTATCGTGTCTGCAGTATTAATTCTAGAGGCGTTGCAAAATACCCACATTCATACATTTCTACACTTCGCGATAAAATATATAAAAACTACTTAAATGAATCGACAATCACTGAAAGTCAAGGTGATACCGGACCAATACTACAACATTATGGCGACAATATTATTCAAAATGTAAACATTTCTTATTCATTTACGAACTCTGATAATTCTGTTTATAATATTGGAGGAGATTATACTATAGATGCTAGAGTTTTATATTCAAATTTTGCAAACAACACAGCTACTCATAATAATTGCTTACGTCATTTTGATTACCGAACAAATATTTCTCATTGTAATATTATTTCAAACAAATGCTCAAAATCTGAAACAGACAAGTTTAATGGAGTTATTTATTCAATAAAAATTGTAATTATACGAGATAGTGTTTTCGCCAGTAATGAAGGTTATTCACTTTTTTATGCAGATACTCAATCATCATCTATTGGCATTTTTCTTGTTTCGTTCAAAAATATGACAATAGATAGGGATGCGACGGTTTTACGCCATGACCGTTTAAAAATAGAATAATACGCCATTTTTGGGGCCGAATGGCGGCTACTTCGTACCCGCCATTCGGCCGAATAACAAAACAATACAAAATTATTCCGTCCTTTTTCTTTCTTTCTTTCTCTTTTTTTCTCTCTCTTTCTTTTCTCTTTCCTCTTTTTACTCCTCTTTCTCTTTTCATCATTAAACGTAGAAAGATATATTAATATTATTTTAAAATTAAAAAAAAATAAAGAAAGTATAATAAGTAATTATTTAGTTATCGATATATATATGTAAAGTGATAATCTGAGGATAATCTGAGGAGTTTGAGGATAATCTGAGCATAATCTGAGGAGGAGTCTGAGGATTAGACCGATGAGTAGTTTGAGGATAATCTGAGGAGGAGTCTGAGGATTAGACTGAGGAGTAGTTTGAGGATAATCTGAGGAGTAGTTTGAGGATAATCTGAGGAGTAGTTTCAGGAGTAGTCTGAGGACTAGTCTGATGAGGAGGACTCTAAGGAGTAGTCTGAAGAGTAGTCTCAGGAGGAAGATCTGAGGAGGAGTCTTATGAGGAAGATCTGAGGAGTAGTCTGATGAGGAGGGGTCTAAGGAGTAGTCTGAGGATGATGAGTAATCTGATAAGGAGTAGTCTGAGGATGATCTGAGGAGAACCTGATGACTAGTCTAGGAGTGGTCTAATAAAAATGTAAAATATTTTCAAAGAAAAAATTCTATGAATTTTATATTTTAATTCTTAGCATTATACTGAATAAAATAAACATAAATATCAAAATTTGAAATTGAACACGCCAAAAAATTGATAATCCACATTCAATATTTTGTAAGTGGCGTACTTTTTGAATACTCGCCATACGCCTTGGAGTTCTCAATTTTGAATTCGCCTTTATTTGGGCGACCTCAGAAAAATACGCCATTAAGAAAATATTGTATGAGATTTTAAATTTGAACACGCTCTACCTTAAGGAATTAAATTTATTAAGATATATTTATATATAATAAACGATTACTTAAAAAAAAGTATTTCATCGCTTATGTAAGTTTCAAAAAAATCACGAAAATAAAAAAATCAAGATTAAGATTTGATTTTTAATTTTTGAATTTCTCAAATGGCGAAATTTTTGGGCGAACAAAAAAAATGTACGCCCGGTCAAATGGCGTGTTTAACGCATCCCTAGACAATAGATATTTCACAACAAAAAATGTTGGCAATGTAATTATAAATAACGACGTTACAAATCCAAAACATATTGACATTGCACATTTTGTTACAGCGCATTGCTATGCAGATTACCAATTAATTTATTTGAAAGGTATTTCAATTGATAAAAATAAATAAATATTTGGGGAAGATATAAATATCACTATCACTCTTGAATTTGATCAAGACATTAAAGGACAATATCAACTTAAAATTAGAATTGATAATATGAATTATACATCCAATATAGAAACAAAACTTACTAATAAAGTTTCATTTCCCATTGGCATTCCTCCCAATTTATCAAACGGGGAGCATCTAATTACCTGCAACATATTATATACAGATAATCTGAAATCAAATACAGTTTCAATAGCATTTTATTATGAAATACCTTTAACTATGACTTTAGAAAAACTCAAACAAAATCATTTCAACAAAACTATAGATAGCGGTATCCAAATTAATGGAAGGGGAATTTGTCCATCAGATTTAAATCTCAGATGTAGTATTGGAAATGAACTTGCTAACTTTCATAGCATAATAACATGGAATTCAAATCACACATTTAGTTTTTCTGGAAACTGTTCTTTTCCACAAACAATATCTAATGAAGGCAATTATATATTGGAAGTCTGGGCCCAATCAGATAATAAATCCATAAAAGTAAAATCTGAGCTATTCAAATTCTATAGAAACTTTCCGATTCTAAGGGAATTTCATACAGACAAAGACAGATATGTACACAAAAATGATAGTGTAATTTTGGTTTCAGGAAGCGTTTCAGATTTTGACATAATTGACAATATCACAGTTACAGGAACAATTGTTGAAGGCATAAATTACACTAGTCAAGTTAATATCAAGAGCAATTCTAATTATCCTTTTGAACTCAGCATTCCTATTCCTAATAATCTTTCGTCTGGAGAACATCAACTTATCATTAAATGCTGTGACAATACTAATAAATGTGTTTCAGGTAATAAAACATTTAATTACGAATACAATAGTCCAGTTCTAACAGTTTCAAATCTAAGTAATCGAACATTTTTTCACAATATAGATAACATAATTCCAGTTTCAGGTACTGTTTCAGATTTCGATGGTGATGTCGATTTTAGTTTTACCTATAGTATTGACGGAAATTCAGACAATTATATGCCAATATCAGCAGATAGTCCATTCAGTATCGATATTTCTATTCCAGATAATCTTTCACAAGGAAAACATCGTATTTCCATAGTATGTTGTGATAATCATGGTTGTTGTGTTTCAGACAATACAGAATTCAATTACGAGTATAACAAGCCAGAAATTAAAATTATCGAAGGACCATCATTACCTGTTTATATTAACAGGGATAATTTTATTAAATTCGTTCTTAATGTTTTAGATATTGATGGAAATAGCAATATTAGTATTTATCACGATCTCAATCACACAATCGGAAATCTTGTTAACATTAGTCTTCATAATAAAACAGCCCAAAAAGTTGAATATTATATTCCAATTACAAGCGAAATTAATATTGGTGAATGTGAAATTCAGTTTCATGCAGTTGATGAATATGATCTATATTCTAATCAAGAAAAAATCATTATAAAATTTGAAAAATACATATCAGAAGATCTACATATATACTCTTTTACGAAACGAAGAAGACATTGATATGGTTGCTTTATATTACTAGATCTGCTTTCAGAAATAAAACATGTATTTGCCATACATATACACAGGCTTTGCAGCCATAAATAGAAGATATCGAAATATTAATTGTATTCTTCATGGATTACAAAGATAAATTTGAACAAATTCCTAAAGAACGTGACCAGAATGAAAAGGAACCGAATAAATCAATATTCGAGAAATCAAAGTTCATTAAGGTCAATTTTGATCCATGTCAGATTTATTATGATTTTAAATCTGCCTTTAATTAAGAAAACATAGATCTGGTCAAAGATATCTAAGTTTTCATTATATTTCACAGATATATCATCTAATTCCACAAATGATTACAGAGCAATTATTGGATTGTATAAGTCCATGAATATACCTTTCAACTTAGCAGAACAGATATTGCATACCTTATATGACATGGTTGTTTTCTCAGAACAGAAATTTATCTTCATGACTCAGTTTTATAACATAATTCCAGTTTTGAGTGCACCAGATTTAGTAATATATTTAATTGATGATGATAGTTCAGAAGATTCTTCGACATGTTTCTTGTTCAATGAAATTTTTGATTGACAATTTGAAGCAGAGGATTAATAATATATTGTTTGTTTGTATTAAATTAAAACTTTTGTTTGAAATTTCATGAAATTATTATTATTTTTTGAAATCTCCTACTTCAAGAGACTAAATAACGAAGTATATTAAATAAATAAGAAATTGAAAGATACATTGAAGAGAAATTATATAACTGATAAGAATAACATTATGAATTCAAAATGATAAAACAAAAGAACCGAAATCTTGATAAGCTAAAGACAAAATACATAAATACTAATTTTGGAATTTATCTTTAAATAAGCATTTATTCATATATTTCACCTTTATTCAATTTTTCCAAAATTATTATCAAAAATCATCTAAAATCAGGAAAAGTATCCGAAATATCCTAGAAAATCAATTCATTACGTTAAATCTCCCAAGATATGATTATTTTTTATGGCAATTCAAGAAATGAATAACAAATAGCAAATCTTTGAAATAAGGTAGTGTCGAAAGATACTTCAATAACTGCCAATCATATCTCTTTTCTGATATAGTTGTGAACTTTACAAATATCATTTAAGAGTAACATTTTTAATGGTCCAAATAATGTGTAATGAAATATATATAACAAAATTGTTGAAAACAGACATTTATCACGGGTTTTCAATTTCGAACTTTTTGAAAATTCTTTGTTTATAACCGTAACTAATTGTGTTGTATTGTTGTATAATTCCAAATCCTTGAACATTTCAGTTACGATGATTGTATTCAATTTTGTTTTCGGTTTTTCTTCAATTTTAAATTGCTTGACCAATGAATAAAATCTTCTACAAGTGATGATTGGAAACAATTTTTCGACGGATTTAATCCTAAAGACCACACATCAAATACAAAACTAGATAGTCAAATTGGAAATTTTCATGTTCACGAAGTTTTATTTAAAAATCACAACGCACAGATTATAAAACTCAGTGAACATAATCTGTTTTTGATTCAAACAATGCTGGAAATTCACAGGGTGGAAATATTTACCAAAATCTTGGTCAAATTGTTCAATATCGCGTTTGCATTATTAATCCTATTGTTAATAGAGATACTCTTTATGCACACTCATATGAATTATAATGATGGATTGACTCATATGAACCAAGGGAATTTAATATAAAGAATCAATATCAATATCATTATTCGATCACAATTCCAAATAATTTAGCTATTGGGAATCACACAATTTATGCATATTTCAGTAATAGCAAATACCCGAAATCAAACATTGTTTCAAATCGTTTTCAATATGATGTTTCACATGAAATTCATCCGCCATTTCAAAATTTTCCTTTCCGCCATAATAGAAAAAGGTGATAATAATTAGTCTATAATTCCAAAAGAATATAAAACGATGCTCTCTAATATTTTTATGTTTGGGCCCAATCAGATAATAAATCCATATAAGTAAATTCTGAGCTATTCAAATTCTGTAGAACCTTTCCGATTCTAAGGGAATTTCATACAGACAAAGAAAGATATTGTCACAAAAATGATAGTGTAATTTTGGTTTCAGATATTGACCTAGTCGATATTGTAAATGTTACAGGAATTGTTGAAGGCATTAGTTGCACTAGTCAAGTTAAAATCAATAGTAATATCATTTTGCCTTTTAACATCATCATTCCTATTCCTAATAACCTTGCGTCTGGAGAACATCAACTTAATACTAATTGTTCAGATGTTGATGGAAATAGCAATATTAGTATTTATCAATAACACAATCAGAAATCTTGTTCATATTAGTCTTCCTAATGAAACAGCTCAAGTAATTAAATATTATATTCCAATTACTAACGAAATTAATATTGGTGAATGCGAAATCCAGTTTTATGCAATTTATGAAAATAATCTTAAATCAGATATAGAAGGAATCAATGCAAAATTTGAAATATATATATATATCAGAAGATCCACATATATACTCTTTTACAAATCGAAGAAATCATTGATCTAGTTGCTGTGTATAATTATATCAACATTCAGAAATAATTCTGTGTATAAAATTGAGAATAATTGCATCGGGTACCATAAATAGAAGATTATTAATTTGAAATGATTAATTCAAGAATGATGAAAAAAAAATTATCGATTAAAGATAGCATTTTATACAACATCGAAGGTTATTCAAAAAGATGACAATAAATATCAGATAGTCGTAAATAAAACTCTTAAAAGACGATTTAAAACACATGACATTGTTTAATAATTTATTCACAATATCCTTGCTTTTAATAAGTAACAAAAACATTGAAAAATATTTTTGATCTTTATTGAATAATAAACTTATGATTTACGAACTATCCCAAACTTCAAAATATAAAAACCTAATTGAATTTTAAAAGGCGAACTTATGAGAAGATATTTTTGAATCTAATTACTATTTAAGGATGCCCTCACCATGTCAGATTTTTTGTGCACGTAAAACTTTTGATATACTTAAATTTAGAATCTGATATTCTGCCATATATATTAATTTTTTATAAGCTACTAACTCTAATAATATTTATGAATAATAATTGTTTTTCACGATAATCAGATTTGATTTAAGGCCAAAATCGTACATAATCAAAATATCAATCCGTCACAATTTTTTAAATTCCAATGATATTCTACCATATTGATTATACGGATACAAAATTAACATTCATGAAGTTATTAGATTAGGAAAATTGAATGAACCCTATTCAATTTTTTTGATTTTCCTCTCAATTTTATAAAGGATATAACTCAAGAACATGTAACATCAGGAATTGTTCAAATATTTGAGTAGAGTCATTCCTTTTTGGATAAAAGCCTGACTGAACGATATTTTAAAAAAGATCTAATATGAAGAAATTAAAAAATCTAATTTTATAAAAATAAAGGTTTATTCAACAGTATGCAAACCACAAAAAATTTGCATGCGAGAGAAAATTCTGGCATCAATGTTAGTAAACAATAACTATTATTCCGACCTCTGGATTTTTTTGAAAAAACAGTAGTAGGATAGGATGGGTTGTGTGACTTTTTTTGTAAACGTAAGAATTCATACAATATCGAGCGATTTTATATCATTTTTTTTAACATTAATTTTAAAATAATTTATTTTTTTATTCTTACATAAATGACCCAACAAGTAAAACCAGATAAAATAGATTATCGAATTTTAGAGGATGGTGTTCCTGTTTATATTCAAAGATTTAAAGGGAAGTAATATTATAGAATTGTTAATCCTGAATACATAAAACATATATTTAAAAAGGAAGACTGTGAATTATTAAACGTTAATGAATATGAAAATGCTAAATCAAAACTGAGATATAAATATATTGGAAGTGATGAAAGATGCAAAGATAAAGATAAAGTTTATTCAGTTTCATATAATGAATGGAAAACCAATAAGATAAGAAAACATTTAGGAGATTATGGGAAATGTTCTGAATTCTTTAAATCTAGTATGTATGAGAGAGTAAAAGAAATTAGAAATAATTATTTTCATGAATAAAAGATTCACTACCATAATGAAATAAACGAGTAAAAAATAAACTTTAAAAAAAATTAAACGAAAGACTATCAAAAGATAAAGTTGAAAGAGTAAATAAACTCGCTAAAGGTAATGGTAATGATGAAGAAGAATTTGATGAGTTCAACATAGAACTTTAAGAAACTAATGATTATTTGAATTTATGAAATCAATTATCTGATTTACTCTTTCTTCAATCTCTTCTATTCTTTTTGTTAAATCATCTATTTTCATTAATGAGGTGATTCTTGATTGAGGAATAGATTTCAAACTAACCACTCCTTTTATTTTTGAAATTTTGAATCCATCAACTTTAAACATTTTATTCAATTTACACGTTGTCAATTCTTCAAATAATTTTTTATTGTTAGCATAATAGTCATTAAATTCTTCAACAGATGAAAAAAATTTTTATTTCAGTAATTGGTTTAACAACGTTTATTTTTTGTTGAACATTTTCACTTTCATTTATTTCTTCCTCCTCTGTTTCATTTATTTTTAAAATCGGTTTCATTTATCATTAAATAAAAATTAGAATATAAGTGATGAAATATATTTTTTTAATTAATATTAAATCAGAAATGGCGGCAGGATTCTTTAAAAAATTATGGGATGGAATTAAGAAAGCTGCGGGTTGGGTTTATAAAAGATTATTAAACCCGTTGCAAACTTTTTGGCACCAGTAGCGAAACGGCAGGAACTATCATAGGTGGAGTATTAGGTACTAAAGCAGGTAATCCGGCGATGGGAGCACAAGCAGGTAACGCAGTTGGTGGAATAGCTGAAGGAATACTTAATAAAATAGGAGGTAGATAGTGGAAAAATAAATATGAGATCCTATGGATCATCTCGCCGCTTAGCGGCTTAAAATTATTTTTATCTTAGTATCGGTTGTAGT